TGAATGGTTTCGACTTAACGCCATTAACTCTGACACAGCACCTGCTATCAGAATACAGTGACTGGATGGCTTTAGCAGCTGGCCATCTATCCCGTATGCTCGAATGCCTGTCCACAGACCATTGCGTGGGATCTGTTCATAGGCTTTTTCTAGGTCAACAAAATATATGTACACCTGAAAGCCACACTGCTCTTCTTGTATCATTTAGTCAGTTATTCCGCGGCACCTCATTTCTAGCACCTTTGCGCAGATTTACTTGGGAAGCTCAATAAAGTAATGCCCAATAATTGGAGCACTCCAGGTGGTCTCTCTTCTTGAACAACCCCTGTTTTCCATTTCTCCTGTGTCGTCCCGTAGCCATTACAGCTTGAAAGACACGCGTAAGCCAGCATATGCCTTGTTCGCCTAATGCTTTGAGCATTTCAGGGCGAATTTCATGAATTTCAGCGGCCTTTCCACTTTCCGCAATATGAAGCTTTTCGTTTCTTGTTTACTTCCAGCTACAGAAATAATAATATCTATTTGCTACTGCCTGCAATCGAGAATTCCGGCGGTTGATCAGGGTTATGGAGTTCCTCACAATGCTCCCAGCATCGCCGAAGTTTTCTCATCCTCAGAAGAGGGTGTCCAGTTCTGTCCTTCAAGACTCTGAGACTGCCCTTCTTTTCCTCCCTCGAAACCGGCGAATGGTCAGCCAGATTACCTTGTTTGTATGCGGAAATTTGATTACACCACCTCGCTGAACTTCCCCAAGGAATCAGTTTTGGCTTTTGCCACTGCTTTCGCTGCCGTCTTGCGTGCCTCGGCATATCACACAAAGGTTGAAGGCTCTTTGTTTCCAAGCCATTTCTTGAATGCTGCTTTCTTCTCTTTAATTGCCACTCGTGTCCACCATGAAGATCTTTGCTGACCTCCAAGTGGCAGGCCAACCCGTTTATACCGCAGCATTCGGCGGCAGCCTCAAGTAGGCTGCTCTTAAAGAGCTACCACTGGGTTTCAACATCAGTCGTCATCACCGGGATCTGTTCAAACCGTCGTGCGATGTTTGCAAATTTCCCTCTCGCGTCCACCGAAGATAATTTTTCCAATTTGATTCTCAGGTTGCTTCTGCCATCATATCTTTGTGTGGTACTCCATTTCGTACACGCGATGTGCCAACAATGAGGTGATGATCGGTTGATAGCTCTGCTCCTCACTTAACGCGAACATCCATTACACAGCGTCTTAAGTCAGGCGATACGATTATCAAATCGATCATCGAGATTGTGCACAGGCTTCCCGGTAACAGGTGTACTGATGCAACTTTCGATGCTCGAAGGTGTTCAGAGTGGACAATCCGTTGTTCGCACAAAACCGCAACAACTTAATGTATTTATTATTGAGGTCTCTGTGGCCGTTCTTTCCAACCACGCCTTTCCACTGTTCAGCGTCTACTCCGACATGCGCGTTAAAGTCTCCCATGAGAATAAGGGACTGCATATTCGACACTTCGTACAGATCACACTCCACTTCCTCAAGAAGGAGTCATACTCTCCCTCTAAATTTGGTTCATAGACCTGTACCAAGGTCAACGCTTTAGTCTGTTGTAGCTTCAGTCTGAGGATTGACACCCTTCGGCTGACAGGTTTCTACTCAATGATTCTATTAGCGAGGTTGGGTTCTACTAGAATACCATCACCGGCCCGAGCGCAAGTCGTGATATCGATACCTGAGTAGAACAGTTTCCACCCACAGAGGTTTAGTATTCCATAGCCATGGCGCTTCGTTGACGAGAGTTCAGCAACATCGAGTTGATACTTTATGTCCTCATCAAATAACGCTTGCTCTTTCCCTCTGAGTGAGGATATATTTCAATTTCTGACTGTAAGCTCCCACTGGCGATACTGTTCTCGTGGATCCTTTTCTCACGTGCTCTATTGACATTGCACTGTTTGTGTCCTCTGTTCAGAACGGGTAGCGACTGCGTTTCTGATTGGTTTCTTCGTCGTTGTTCCGTCGATCTTCTTCAGCCGTTGTTGTGCTGCTGTACTCCCGGCTGACAGGGGGCGATGAGCAGATTCTGGTCTCTGAATTTTCGCCGTCCCACAACGACCTGCGCGTCTTTTTGTAACCAGGGCGACGACCGGACGGGTATAATTTTTGCTGCAGTTTTAAAGTGAGACAGAGTTTGTAATAACTCTGAAAGTTGTTTCTTATTCCTTAATCCGGCAACTGTTTGCACATACATAACATATATGACGGTTGAGTGACTGATTTAGGCAGAACGGCCTTAGTGGTAATGGCGGATATTGCAGCGTATGCCGAACCGTCAGCTCGATGTACCGGAGGTGCTGGTGCTGTTGCGCTTCTCATTGGCCCGAATGCTCCTGTTGTCTTCGACAGAGGTGAGAAACGCTGTACACGTGGCATTACAGAAACCTGACATTAGGTGTGCGATCATTTTACATGGAGCACGCGTATGACTTTTACAAGCCTGCTATGTCGTCTGAGTTCCCGGTGATCGACGGAAAGCTCACTATCCAGTGCTACTTGAAGGCTCTTGATCACTGTTACGAACGATACTGTGCTAAAGCACAGAAGGTGTTTGGTGAGTAGTGAATTATATTCCGTCTGAATTTGCATATCACGCACTAGGAATAGCACAGTTTAAAAAATTTTGGACTGAATACCTGCGAACACAAAGATACAGATTTTTACTGAACCATTCAGAACGTATTTCAGCTGCGGTACAGCAAATCAAAACTTTTGATCGACTATGACGAAAGAAATCGTCCTCGTATTTCTGTGTTACATTGCCAAAAGATGCCTGTTTCGATTTCTGCTAACGAAGCGTGCCAAAACCCATCATTTTTGGGTTTATTCGATATTGTCGTAGCCAACTTAGCATGGACCCATTATACCCTTTAAGCAGCCCACGGCTCCATCTTATAGCACCTATATTACTGGGTCGAAGGCCACATTTCCTGTTTCTGATATTGAGCAACTTGTTCGAATAGTCATCATGAAAATTATCACGCATTATCAAAAACACTTAGCTTGAGAACAGAAGGGTTGATTTCACTACTGAAGAGCAAGAAGAATAATTTCCTTGGCACTTAAATCGATAGGTTTTTGAAAGGGCCTTCAGTACCGTCATTAAAATATAATATAGGGCTAGAAATATAAAACAATGCCGCTAAGACAAAAATGACTGTTTGAACATCAATTTCAGGGATTATTAGGTAGGAATCTCTTAGTTCTTCAGGTTGTTTAAGCGCACATAGCGGTGTGAATAAAGAATGGCCTTTGTTCTAGCTTTGAGCAAAAAGTTGCTTTAAACATGAAAATGCGGTATGAAGTTTCATGTTATGAACGGGATTCTGTAAATTTGATTAAATCGAGTGACGGACGCGTAGGAAAGTATCTATGATTCTGTTGATTACAGTATCTGCAAGGTTTTTTCAGTAAGCTTTGCTAGGATGACCACATGG